CTCGGGGCGATCCGCGCCGCGGGGCGACCCACCCGCTCGTACCCCCGACCCCCCACAAGAAGGAGAAAGGGAGGGAGGGAGGGCGGCATGAGGAAGACGGGGAGCAGGCGGAGAAGGAGGAAGAGGAGGAGGAGGAGGAGGAAGAGGAGGAGAGGGAGGAGGGGGATAAGAAGGAGGAGGAGAAGGAGAAGAGAGGAAGAAGGGAGGACAATGAAGTTGAGGAGGAGGAGAAGGAGGAGGCGGAGGACGAGGAGGATGATGATAACGATGATGATGCAGCTGATGATGATGGTGATGCTGATGATAAAGACGGTGAGGGTGACGATGACGATGGCGATGATGATGATGATGCTGATGATGCTGATGAAGATGATGATGCTGATGATTATAACACCGACGATGATGACGATGATGATGCTGCTGGTGTTCATGCGGCTGTGAATGATGACTTTGATGACGCTGATAACGATGGTGCGGCTGATGATGGCAATGGCGATGGCGATGGCGATGATGATGATGATGATGATGATGATGATGATGATGATGATGATGATGATGATGATGACGATGATGATGATGATGATGGTGACGACGATGACGACGACGACTGCGATGGTGATGATGCTGACGACGATGATCATGGTGATGTAAAACAAGAAAATATTGTGATGTTGATGGTGATGATGATGTTGGTGACGAGGAGGAGGATGGTGATAATGATGATGATGCTGAGGATGATGAAGGTACAGATGATGATGATCATGGTGACGGAATAGATGATGCTGATGACGACTATGATGATGTTGGTGATGATGCTGGCGATGAGGTTGGTGGTGATTATGCTGATCATGGTGATGATTGTGATGATGATGATGATAATGCTGATGCTGGTGATGATGGCGACGACGAGGAGAAGCCAGAAGAAGGATGCTGCTGGTGGTTTTGCTGCTGCTGATGATGATAAATGATGCTGGTGCTGATGGTGATGATGATGGTGGTGATGATGATGAGGAGGAGGAGGACCATCGCACGGCTACGGAAGGGTTCGGTTTCGCTTATGGCGTCCTGAACGCTTAAGTGGAAAAGCCTCCTTGGACAACCCTTCCAATGGGGATTTGGTTACCAACCACCGAGTGGCTCCTCTTTGAGGCCTTAAGGTGCCTTCCCGAAGCCCAAGCTCCACTTCCAAACTTCGAACCAACATCTCTGGGTAACTGCGGATTGAACCGCTATCGCGGACATTCAGAGATGAAGATGCTGATGGTGATTGTGCTGGTGATTGTGCTGATTTTGTTGTTGCTGTTGTAGTCGTTGTCGTTGTCGTTGTCGTTGTTGTTGTTGTTGATGCTGCTGTTGCCGCCGTTGCTGTCGTCGTCGTTGCTGTTGCTGTCGTTGTTGCTATTGTTATGGCTGTTGTTGTTGTCGTTGTTGTTGTACTTGTCGTTGTTGTTGTTGTTGTTGTCAAACCCTCATCACCGAAAAATGATTATTGTTGATCCCCCCCTCCGGGGCCACGTTGCAGCCCTTCGTGGCCCCCTCGCTGCCCTTTGGGGCCCCGTTGAAGCCCCGCGTGGCCCCCTCGCTGCCCTTCGTGGCCCTGTTGCAACCCGTCGTGGCCCCCTCGCTGCCCTTCGTTGCCCTGCTGTCGCCGTTCGTGTCCCCCTTCCTGACCTTCGTGGCCCGGTTGCAGCCCTTTGCGGCCCCCATCGCTGCCCTTCGTGGCCCCGTTGCAGCCCTTCGTGGCCCCGTCGCTGCCCTTCGTGGCCCCGTTGCAGCCCTTCGGGGCCCCCTCGCTGCCCTTCGTGGCCCCGTAAGTGTAACTATGCCCTTCGCGGCCCCCGCTCGTTCGCGCCCTTCGCGGCTCCATATGCATGCGCTTCGTGGCCTCGCCACTTCGTGGCCCCGTTGCTTCTCTCAGTGGTCCCGTCCGTGCCCTCTGCGGCCCACTGTGCGAATGCGCTTCGTGGCCCCCGCTCGTTCGTGCCCGTCGCGGCCCCACGTGCGCGCCCATCGCGGCCCAACTGTCGCCCTTTGCGGCGCCCGTGGCGGCGCCCTACGTGGCCCCGTTGCTACCCTCAGTGGCCCCGTCGTTGCCCTCTGTGGTCCCGCCTTACAGGCCCTTCGTGGCCCCCGCTCGTTCGCGCCCCCCGTGGCCCCATACGCATGCGCTTCGCGGCCCCGCTGTCGCCCTTCGTGGCCCCCTTTTTGCCCTTCGTGCCCCCGCTGTCGCTCTCGCTCTCGCTCTCTCTCTCGCTTTCGCTCGTCGTCGTCGTCGCCGTCGCCGCCGTCGTCGTCGTCGTCTTCGTCGTGGTCGGTCCCCTGTCCGTCCCTCTTGGGGTTGGGTTGCCGCCGATCAACGTTGCCGCTGGCCAGGCCGACGGTCCGCGGCCGCCCCGCCGATTGCCGGGGCCCGGCCTGTAGGGAAGAAATATATACCCCCGCCAGGGGTACGATCGAAGACGAAGAAGGCGGGCAATGAGGGCTTGGAAAATACATAATGAGTGACACTCGAGCAGATAAGAGCGAACAATCTTAATATGATTGTTGCTGTTGTTGTTGTTGATGTTGTTGTTGTCGTTGTTGTTGGTGATGTTGAGGTTGATGTTGTTGCCGTTGTCGTCGTCGTCGTCGTCGTTGTTGCTGTTGCTGTCGCTGCTGCTGCAGTGGTTGCTGGTGTTGAACTCTAAACACTGAAAACTAAGTATTGTTGGTCGGCTCCCTCTGGGGCAATTCGATTTTTCGATTGAAGTGCCCTTCCCAGGGCTCGCACCTGGTTTTCTCCAACCATGCTGTGGTGTTGGGTCCTCGTTTTGAAGAAACGGTCCCGCGTTCCTCTTCTCTTCTCCTCTCCTCCTCCTCCCCCCCTCCCTCCCTCCCTCTTGGCGGCACACCCCTCACACGTTTCGTGGCCCCATAGGGGGGCTCCACCTGAGGTCGCCCCATTTTGGCACACCCCTCACACGTTTCGTGGCCCCATAGGGAGCTCCACCTGAGGTCCCAGTGGCGCAGTCCGCATGGCGGCGCCACCCCATTTTGGCACACCCTTTACACGTTTCGTGGCCCCATAGGGAGTTCCATGTGAAGTCTCACCGGCGCACGCCGCATAACACCGCCGGCCCATTTTGGTGCACCCCTCACACGCTTCGTGGCCCCATAGGGAGCTCCATCTAAGGTCCTAGTGGCGCAGTCCGCATGGCGTCCCCGCCCCACTTTGGCACACCCCTCACACGTTTCGTGGCCCCATAGGGAGCTCCATCTGAAGTCCCAATGGCGCAGTCCGCATGGCGGCGCCGCCCCATTTTGGCACACCCCTCACACGCTTCGTGACCCCATAGGGAGCTCCACCTAAGGTCTTGCGCATCGTTATTATCCTCGCCAGCATCGCCGCTCGCCCCTCGCACGTTTCTTGGCCCCAGAGGCAACGCCCGCATGGCGTCCCCGCCCCATGTCGGCACATCCCTCACACAGCTTGTGGCCTATAAAAGTCGTCTACATCAGGTCATAATAGCAAGGCCCGCATGGCGGCCCCGCCTCATTTCGGCACACTCTTCACGCGCTTCGTGGCCCCATAAGGAGATCCACCGAAGGCGATATCCGCTGGCCCCCTTGTGGGGCCACCAGGCTGTAGGCGCGTGATTCGCAGTTTCCTGTACCAGTTGTAGTTTCTAGTTTCCAGTGTTACAGTTCTGCTTCTTGCTGGTTACTGTAACTAGTTGACTTCTTGCTGGTTACTGTAACTAGTTGATTGACCGCGCGAGGGGGGGGGAGGCCCAAACAGGATTTTCCAGCGTCCCCTGGGCGCGTTGTCTGAATTGCTGGGGGGGCTCGAAATCGACACCCCTCACGCAGATCCGCGGGGTCAGGGTCCAAAAACACAGGGGATTTGCCACATTTCTGAAATTCGGTGCCACCCCTCACGCAGATCCGCGGGGTCAGGGTCCAAAAACACAGGGGATTTGCCACATTTCTGAAATTCGGTGCCACCCCTCACGCAGATCCGCGGGGTCAGGGTCCAAAAACACATGGGATTTGCCACATTTCTGAAATTCGGTGCCACCCCTCACGCAGATCCGCGGGGTCAGGGTCCAAAAACACAGGGGATTTGCCACATTTCTGAAATTCGGTGCCACCCCTCACGCAGATCCGCGGGGTCAGGGTCCAAAAACACAAGGGATTTGCCACATTTCTGAAATTCGGTGCCACCCCTCACGCAGATCCGCGGGGTCAGGGTCCAAAAACACAGGGGATTTGCCACATTTCTGAAATTCGGTGCCACCCCTCACGCAGATCCGCGGGGTCAGGGTCCAAAAACACAGGGATTTGCCACATTTCTGAAATTCGGTGCCACCCCTCACGCAGATCCGCGGGGTCAGGGTCCAAAAACACAGGGGATTTGCCACATTTCTGAAATTCGGCGCCACCCCTCACGCAGATCCGCGGGGTCAGGGTCCAAAAACACAGGGGATTTGCCACATTTCTGAAATTCGAACCCATCACGCACATCCATCGCAAGGCGTGGTAACCCAAACTGCGAGAACTCCCTCGGCCCTTTCATCGCAAGGTGTGGTAACCAAGCCCTTAAACCATACACGTCTTACCAATCGCCAGGTGTGGTAACCCCTCTTGTGATCAGTTGGTTTTGCTGATTGCGACTCGGCTTCGCATGAAGTTTCGATACTGCTTCACGACAGCGCCAAGGCCTCATGACTTAGCTCTTCCATGGCCCATTCTCCGAGAGAGGGGGCCGGCGGCAGGGGGCGAAGCCCTTACGGATTAACAACGACGGTATTCACAACTGCGTATCGTTGGGTCCTTCGCCATGCTAATTTATGATGGAAAATATTGGGTCTCACAGTTTGGGTCCTGGCCCCCGAATTACAAGAACAACAACAACAATCATGTTCAGACTGTTCGCTCTTATCTGCTCGAGTGTGCATTAACGCGTATTTCCCAAGCCCACGATACCCGCCCTCTTCGTCTTCGATCGTATCCCTTTTGGG